TTATTTCCTTTCTCCTGGGGACTGTAGGCTTCTCTTGCTGTTCTTTTTCTAATTGTTGGAGATGTTGGTTTAGTGTTGATTTTGGCTCTTTCTTCTTTTTTGATGTGTGCATTTATTGCTATAAATTGGCCTCTGATCACTGCTTTTGCTGTATCCCAATAGATTTTGGTATGTGTTATCATTCTCATTTGATTCAAGGAATTTTTTAATTTCATATTTTATTTCTTCTCTTACCCAGTCTTTCTTAAGGTGGGTATTGTTCAGTTTCCATGTGTTTTCTCTCTTTCCTATTGTTGACTTCTAATTTGATAGCATTACAATCTGAGAAGATGCTTTGTAGTATTTCAATGTTTTTAAATTTATGAAGGTTTGCTTTATGGCCTAACATATGGTCTATCATGGAAAATGTTCCATGTGCACTGGAAAAGAATGTGTACTGTGCTGTTGTTGGGTGAAGTGCTTTGTAGATGTCTATAAGGTCAAGCTGGTGGATGTATTGTTTAGCTCTTCTGCATCTTTGTTGAGTTTCTTTCCAGGTGTTCTATCTTTCATTGAAAGTGGTGTATTAAAGTCTCCCGCTATGACTGTGGAGTCATCTGTTTGCCTTTTATGTATTTTGGGGCTCTTTCACTGTGTCCATAGATATTTATTATGGCTGTATCTTCTTATTCAATTGGTCCTCTAATCATTATATAATGTCCTTCCTTGTCTCATATGGTGGTTTTTGTCTTAAAGTCAATTTGATCAGAAATTAGTATTACCACTCCTGCTCTTTTACAGTTGCCTTTTGCTTGATATATCTTTTTCCAACCTTTGATTTTTAGTCTATTTTTGTCTTTGTCTCCAAGGTATATGTCTCTTGTAGACAGCATATTGATGGGTTATGTTTTCTTACCCAGTCTGCAACTCTCTGTCTCTTGAGTGGTGCATTTAATCCATTAACATTCAATGCTATTATCCACAAGTATGAACTGGTTGCTGTCATTTTGTTGTGTGTTTTTTCATGGTGTTCCTGGTTCTATGTTCCATGTTATTTTCTGTGCTGAGCTCATTATGCTTATGAATCATGTTATCATTTCCTTTGCTGCTATTGTTTTAGTATTTGCAAAATATTTGTGCTTGTCCTCTCTTTTATTGTGATGTAAAGGTTTATTATTTTTCTTTAAGGTTACCCTGTGATTTATAATTTTCTCCCTGAGTTCAGAACAGTCCATTCTATCTTGCAACTCTCTTCACTTCCTCACCACTTAGAAGTTCTGTAACTTCACTATTTTTCCCCCCTTTCTGATTTGTAATTGTCCTCATTTAACAACTGATGTCCCTGGGTCCCTGCTGTGAGCTTATTTTACCTTGGATACATCCACAGCTGTGTTGGTTTCTGGGTTATGTAGTCTTGTGTATTAATGGTCAGTTGTTGTTTGCTATTATTGATTCTCTGTTCAAAGGAGTCCTTTTAGTATCTCTTGTAACGTTGGTCTGGTTTTAATAAATTCCCTTAAATTCTGCTTATCTGGAAATCTCCTAATTTCACTATCATATTTGAGGGACAATTTTGCTGGGTATATAATTCCTGGTTGGCAATTTTTCTCTTTCAGGGTTTTATATATACCATCCCATTGCCTTCTTGCTTGCATGGTTTCTGCTGAGAAATCAGAGTTTATTCTTATTGGTTGTCCTTTCTAAATAACTTTTCATTTTCCCCATGCTGCTTTCAGGATTCTTTGTTTTTTGGTTTTGATGAGCTTGATGATCATATGTCTTGGTGATTTTCTTTTGGGGTCTATCCTGTTTGGGGTTCGTTGGACTTCTTAAATGGATATATTCTTATCTTTCATCATATCAGGGAAGTTCCCTTCCAACCAATCTTGGACAATTTTCTCAGTGGTTTTATTTTTCTCTTCCTGTTCTGTTAGACTTTCTTCATTTTATTTTGATCTTTTTTCTGGTTGATCCCTTTCTAAAGAAGTATTCAGGTATTTGTCTTCAATCTCATTAATTGTCTTCCATTGATTTGATTCTACTCCTTTGCCCTTTCAATGTATTTCTGAAAATTTAGTATTAATCTTCTGGATTTCTATCTGTAGATTTTGTATCATTTCTAATTTTTCATTTATTTTGTCATTTTGTTCTTATATTTTCTTCCAAAATCATTCTAGGGTTTTGTCTGTT